TTCTGTTTTATTTACTGCACAGTAGAACAGCCACAGTGGATTAGCTCTACAATACCCGTAACAAAAGCACAACAGCTGATGCATGTGATGTTAGGAGGTGACAAAACAGTTAAAGTATGCTGCTGGCTACAGGCAAGCAGTCAGCAGATGCAGACAAAAGGGTTTGTGACAAGAATAACTCTCTCTCCAAGGCGAGCAGTCAAGAGTATCCAAAATACCAATACCCTTTTCTCCTTGACATTGTCTTCTTACAGTCAGCATTTTATTGCCCTTTTATAGTAAAAAAACAAAACACAATTCTCTGGAATATCAGTTTTAACTTGACTTTCACAATTCTGTGATCTTTACATCTGTATTGCTTTTTCTATCGTCTAGATTTACCACTTGAGCAGGAATTTTTGAAAGTTTAAAAGATTAACTGTAAAGAAGACCACCCTTAATAGGATTAACGACATGAAATACACATATAAATCTTTGAGCAGACCAGTGACTTGTTTTGTCGTTTGGTTTTGGTGTTTTCCCCCTTTTCTATTAAGAGAGAATTAAGCATCTTATTTTGCTAATGAAGAAATAAGGTTTGGGTAGAAATTAAAGGTTTGCTTGACAATGGGAGAGATTTAGGTGCTGGAAAGGGACTGTGAATGAGCTGATGTTTATTTCAGAAGTGTGAAAAATCAGCTTATATATCTCCAGAAAAAAAAGAGAGAGAGAGAGAGAGAGAAAGGCTGTCTTCTTTCTAACCTTTGTAATTCCCCTTCTATTCTCTGTGACATTCATTCAGCTGCCAAGCATGTTTGGCAAGGCTTGAGCCAGTGAGCGCACTTCCAGTGACCGCTAACCTTGGTATGTCCTGACACTTATGATGAGTATCTGCAGGACACAGAAGGCAGGCAGGCTGCTATGTCAGGCTTTTATTATGTACTGCAGAGGCTGGGGACAGTCAGTTTAATAAAACAAATCATCCTTGAAGGTAAAGCAACTGGGAAGAGGAGGAGGGCTCGGGGAAGGGAGGAGATGAGGGGAATGGGAGGGAAGGGAGAAAAAGTCTTTGCTGCGCAACCCAAAAAATAAATGAATTAACTAATAAAAGATGCAAGATACAAGACAACCTAATAATGAGAAAAACAGAGAAGGGCCACTGAACAGCCACCAACTTGAGACACATGTGTACTTCTAGCGTGCCCTCCTCTCTTCCCAACAGTGATTTTAAAGTCCATGCATGCCATCAGAAAGGGAAGCCTGATCCTCTTTGTTGGCTTAAAATCAGTGTTGCTTCACTGATTTTCCTCGAGCAATGCTGACTTAGACCTGCTGAGGATCTGCCCTCACCTTCCCAAACACTGCTGCCTTTTTGGTAACATTTTCCTTAAAAGAAATTCAAGAAGTATTTTTAAAGCATATGTCTTTCTGCGACTGCATATGCCTCTGCATGAAAGAAGTGTGAGTTAGGTCTGACTCGTCTCCAACTTTTAAGCCATTGGAACTGTAGTTTTACTCGCATAGAAATAGTTTGTGCTGAGTATTTTTAACAAAGCACTCCCCCACAGTGCTAATCCAAATGGTTCGGCATGGTAGTTCCACACGCAAACCCAGGAGTGAAATAGTTCAGGTTTGTTGTTGAAGCCAAGGAAAATGCCAGTAGTTAAAACAGCATAAATAGACAAGAGCAGATGAGAGCTTGAATTCCCTCCCGGTTTTCATAGACGAAGGGGATGTATTAACGTGGCTAAGGCTTGAGCAGGGGCACTGTGGTGGTGGTAGGACTGCATTAGGAGGCACGGGACTGATGTGCACCAGGTGTAAATCACCATAACTGCACCGGGGCGGGTAGAGCCCTGCTGATTTACACTAGCTGAAAGTTTGGCCTGTGACTTTTTCCTTGGCAGCAGAGCCAAGTTATATTGACAAAGCATGCGACAAAGTGTGATTTCTCTCTAAATCAGTCCGACGTGGAGGCTTCAGCCTGAAACCCACCTAGCCTCCCCCTGAGCAGACCTCATTGTCTTTCCTCCTGGTGAATGTACAGTGTGATTCTTTGATTGACTGCTGCCACCTGATGCTAAGAAAATGCCCTGGGTTCATGCTAGGGATTGTTGGTTCTATTAAAAGCAATGTAGATGGAGTTTATTTGTCACTGAAGCATTTTCTGCAGATGTTCCTACTTCAGAGATGTTCAGTCAGTTAGGTGTAAAGATGCACTGAATAGGTCGCCATCACTTAGGGTCAGGGAAATGCTACCCCCAGACACATAATTAACATGGCTGACTGATTATTGCCCAGTGAAAAATCTAACTACCCATCCATTTAAATATGTATTTTCAGTCTCCAGACTTCACTAGTATTTTCCTTATTTAAAAAAAAAAAAAAAAAGCAACAACACTGTGTGGTTACTCTTTCTAGAAAGGAAAAATGTTGGCTGACGTACTATCCTGTGCGGATTAATCACAGTGCTATTCACATTACAACATGTAAAGTAATGTGTGTAATCCAGTCTGACATGAAAAATTGCTAATAACATCCCAAAAGGAAAGAGCTATGAATGGCTCTAATGCCTAAGGAGTAGGGGAGATCTTTGGGAACTCACCATTACGAGGAGGTCTCCTCAAAGCCCCCATAGGGCTTCGTTCACTTCTGTTTGTGGGCTGCTCTCTGCAGCCTGTTGTCCCAGGTTCAAAGGGGCCCAAACCTGCAGATGTGACTCATGTACAACAAAGTCAGACCTTAAAAGATAACTCAGCCTAAAAGAAAAGCTTGTGTGTCTTTACAGGGGTGGGAGGCCTGGAAGGTAGTTGTTTCGGGGGGTTTACACCTCCTACTCCATGGAAAAGCAGCATCCCCTACCTGGACAACTTTCATATGCACAGGTAGAAATTGAATGGCAGAGGCTCAACTTAAAACCCAGGTTATCACTTACACACACCTAAAGTTGCCATGGGTGTAACCATGTAGGAAGAGATAGGACTTTTTGCATCTGAACTTTATGCTTCTCATGTAGGTGCTTGTAATTCCTCCCTCTTGTCTCTAGTGACTTGGAAGGGAGGAAAGGCATCTAATACTGGTCATCTGGAGTGGACACCGAAATTGAAAGATGTGAACTCTTCTTCCCAAGCACAAAGGCAAAAACCAACTGTTTTTCCCTTGTGCACTAATACTAGTGTGTACACCAAAAAGTTGGTTATCTACTGTATTTCTTGCTTTCTAGTATCATGTAGTCAATGACTGCTTCCCCCTGGTTGGTGCCCAGCAATACCAAGGGTGATGAACAGCATATGAGCTGTTGTTTGAACTGTCTGAACCGAAAAGTGTATCATTTTTTATAGCAATGCAAGAATGAGACAAGAATGGTATCTTTTGTTGATGTATTACCAAGTGGCCAAACAGCAGAGTGGTCATGTGAAGTTTTAAGTTATTTCTTCGAGCGGAAACAGGTGAAACACAATAGTTATTTTCTTCCCTCATAATTATTGGTGGAATAGAACATCTGTAAAAGCGTTTTTTTCTGTGTGGCTTGTTGAATGAAAAATTTCCACAGAAGGCAGCCTGTCTTTGGGGACAGAGAAAAATGGAGGGGGGGGGACGACTGGTTTTCACTCGTTGAGGTAGGACTTGTGCGGACCACAGGGCTTCTGGAAGCAGGGATTGTCAGCTGGTGCAGAGGGAGCTGATCTCATGCTTATCTGATGGCCAAACGTGGCTAGCAAACTGCTGGTGTTTCTGCAACAGCAATAGGTAGGTGAGGCTCCAGAGCTCCAGACAAGTTTTCTGAAAGTGGCTTCTAAAGGGAGAAGAACACAAGCCTGAAGTAGAGGATAAAGTGCAGGCCTGATCTGGCAATGTGACACCCATTTGGTAGGCGAGTGAGATTTGCCAGGGTGTCTGCTGGCTACAGAAATGGTTGAAGTGGCGGCCACTGTGGGTCAGAGAACTCCTCTGGCCAGAGTGGGCAAAGAATAGCAGTGAAGGAATACTTGCTATTATAAGCATGCTGGCTACTGGCCGGCCATGTATTAGGAGTTCTAGAGCTGTGAAGCCATATTTCTGTAATAAAAATGGAAAATAATACCTTTATGGAGATGACCTCAACCTTGCAACTGACCTACGGTTCATTATAGTGATTGCTTTTGAATCATTTAAGGCAGAGGGTAAGAAGTTGGTGCTGGTGCCTGAGACAACTATTTAGGATGAATTACTAAAGTTTGGAGGTAACTGTTTCTTGACATTCACCCATTGCTCATGGTCTTCTGAGAGTGGCATGCCCCTACTAGCTGGCCATTTGGCTCACTCGTGAAATGACAGTGACATTTAGAGAACCCAGATGAGTTTAATGCATCCCACCTCAGTGGCCACTTGGAGCACGATGCACCCATTGAAGAGGTTGGGGTTTTGTTTGTAGGCTTCTGAAAAAGAAGGGGAGACCATAATGTCTACCGAGAAAACAATCTTAGGGGGGTCTCATGCCCAGCAGCTACAGAAGTACACCATTAGCTGAAGGCTTGCTTGCTTGTTTTTACACTAGGAACAACATTCAGAGGTACCCTGTTTCTTTGACAGCTTTCAGCACCAGTTGTGACCAAAGTGCAGAGGACTTCCCATGCATGCATAACTTCCATATTAGTTCCCCCACGGAGAGGAGAACGTAGCCGTAAAAGCACGGGTAAAATGTCAAGCAGAGATTTCTCTCCTTAAAGACAATTGTGTTTGTTTCCCCTCGTGCTAATTATATCCTCTAAATCCCCCACTCTCCAAACTCAGACAGTAACATTTTGTTACCTACATTCTGTCAGTAGACTTTACAAAGATCTCTAACACATGTTATAAAAGTTATTGCTATAGTACTATATATAACAGCTTTGCATAAGAGAATAGAAGGCTGCCACATTTAGAAAATGCAGGTGCTATGTAAGCCCCTTTCTGAAAGAAAGAACTTAGCTCAGTTTCCTTTGAAGAACCAGAGACTTGAAATTGAAAACTGTATTAATGCCATTGTCTCCTTGTATCAGCAGGTTCCAGAGAGATTCCTGGAAGTGGCTCAGATCACGTTACGGGAGTTTTTCAATGCCATTATCGCAGGCAAAGATGTTGATCCTTCCTGGAAGAAGGCCATATACAAGGTCATCTGTAAGCTGGACAGTGAGGTCCCCGAGATTTTCAAATCCCCAAACTGCCTACAAGAGCTTCTTCATGAGTAGAGAGTTCAGCAGCTATTTATGAATGTATGAAAGTAGCAGTCCCCTTCTGATGCCCAAGTCATGTGTGTCTCTATTTTAATTTCATATATATGTGTATCGCATACATATATATGTATATGAAATTAGACTGTGATCCCTCCTGGATTTAAGTTTTCATTCGGTTCCAAGGGGATGGTTATTTTACTTCAGCCTTTGGTTTACTTTTGCCCGAGACCCTTAACATTTGAAGAATCAACGGGGTTAATTTTCAGGGAGAAGAGTTTGGAAGCGTGTAAAAGCCTGTCTTAGCAAGTTAGGGCATTATGTTTAAAAATGCTTTGTCAGATTTATTGCTTGCTGCAAAGTGGCATTTTGTCTGTGTGAGACTAATGTCACGGCACAATACTACAGACAATGAAGTTTATATTATGTTTATACTGCTAAAGGTCTGAACTCTGTGGAGTCACTTCATAAGCTTCGAGCTTTTTTTTTTTTATTTTATATACTTTTTAACCAATAACTAGATTTTGTTTCATACTTCAAAAAACTACGACATCTACTTTAGGTACTCACTCCAAGAAGTGATACCCAGAAACACAGACGTTGTTCTTCAGGCTTTCCTTACAGAAATGATAAATACCCTGCACCAATGATCAACATGCCAGGTTGTTGTTTCTCTATATTGCAACAAGGGACATTTGCACAAATCAAATACCGTTCTTGCAGGGTGAGGCCAGTAATTCATGCACAATATTGTATCAACCACACTAATTTTGGAATATGGTCAGCTTAATAAAGCGGAAGCATTTCACTCTCCATAGACTAAAAATGAAACCTTCAGCGTCCTATATTGCCATGTCTCAGTCTTACTTTAAGTGGTATTACTCCCTAAATTTATTATTTTCTTAGTCCATTCTGCCCCCCCAAAATCCCCTTTCCACTATACAAAATTTTCTGACTGTGTTTGACATCTGTCCTGAAAAGCACTTTTTGAATGATCATAGATACAGTAGAGGGAAGCATCTTCACAGTGCTGAGGCAAAGGAAAAAAAAAAAATACATTTTCATAAAAATCTAATCAAGCATATACAAAAATCGCAGTGTCCTCCTGGCTATGCAGGGTTCAGATAGCCAAATTAGATTTTTAAAATTACAGGAAGTGCAGCTATAAAAAAAAAAAAAAAAAAAAAATCTATTTGAGCAATGCGCTTCACTTGTCTTCTAAAGCTGGAGCTCGTCTTGACCAAAATCTGAGCTCCAGTGTCATGTCCATGATGGATCTGGGTTCACCTGAATGCTATCCCACGTTATGTCAGCAGACGGAAACAAAGCTAGCTGCTAGTTCTCCTGCTTTCTTCAATGGCTCTCCTTTTCTTGTGTTTTCAGAAAGGTATTGTCTCCAGAAGTTTGGGGGAAGGTTGAATATGCTCTGGCACTCTGTATTTGTCATTTTCTCTCTGTCGTCTTTTGTACGGATGCAGTAAGAATTTATTGTTATCGTCAATACTATTTTCCCCTACATAATTCAATCTGGATCTAGAGGAAGTTCCTAATTAGCTGCGAATTATATTTAGAACATCGAGGATATTGGTATCTTATTTCTTTATTTTAAAATTACATTTTGACTTTGGAGAGTGAAAGTTTACCCATGTGACTAAAGAGCTGACCTGATCATTGCAATTTCACTTCATTTACAAATACTGCTGATAGACAGAAATGTATGAAAGCAATTATTGTTAGCAGAAAGCCTTAAAAACCTGCTGACTTCAAATTAAACAGCACAGTCCTACGATTCCCTGTCATTCTTTTCAAGCACTGGCAGTATCTGTGGAGTATAGGCAATGCAGACAATAGCATGGGATGAAGTGCCAACATTTTCACTATGCATTAAAAGCAAAACAAATCTTCTTGATCTTAGGCTCCCTGAGAGTACCTAATACTGTATGTACCCTTGCAGTAGACAGGATGTGTCTTTTTTTTCTTTCCTTCCCTTTTCTTTCATTTTATTTTGTTTTCTTATTTCTTTTTTTTCTTTTTTTTTTTTTTGTTTGTTTTGTTTTGTTGTGTGTGCATGATTTGGTAAACATTACACTTCATAAAGATGCAACTCCAGTGAATTCTGAGTAAGAAAGGATGAAAATTGTGTTCATGCACTTTTTTGATTTATGGGAAGAAGTGGCATAAAATGCTCAAGTTTTAATACAGTAAATTCATCATTGGCATACCATCAGATACAAAATATAACACTGCATCGTCACCTTGGACATAAGAAAGCAAAGCCATACTTTAGTCATACTACATGGTCATACTACTAGCTACCATCTCAATCTGTGATTTTACCCTTGCTTTTATTATGTTTATTATTATTATTAATATTATTATTATTATTATTTGGCTGCAATGTGATTCACATAATCTAAATAAGTGAAACTGTATACTCAACACTTGATGTTGTTGCATTTATTTATTTATTTATAAGTAGCATAATCTCAATAGTAAATGAGGCATAGGAATTAAGAGTAGAAATTTCATCTTAAAAGCAAAATTAAAAAACTCCTTGTTCTGAAAAAGGAATAAATGATAATTTGACCATTTCAGTTATGTGATTTTTCTGCATTTTATAGCCATATTGCCTTTGTGCCTCCCAATACACCTAAAATTTTAAATACATGGCATAGCTCCTACTAAATTGTAAGTAGAAAGCAGTTTATTTCAAATTATCTCAATATTATTTTACTAAAAATGGCTAAAAGGCAGGAGGCTACTTTTATTGTAATGAAAAGTTTACATAGGGAAAGAATTTCAAAATCCATGTAGAAACCCCATGTTGCCATTCATTTACTGCTAATTCAGATTTATTTCTGCATATAAACTTGAGGTTATAGTCTGTGCCTAGACCTTAAATGCACCAGCGGAAGGATAAAAAAAATCCTTCAAAATACCAGTTTTTCCCCCACAAGTACAATTGTTCTTGTGCCTTCTGTGGCTTACAATTTTCATCTTTTAAACTTTATTTTTCAATTACTACAGCTGCAATAAACACTGATTTTATTTTTTTTTTCCGGCTGTTTGACATAATGTTGATAGCTATGCATATTTTGTGTCTTTTTAAAAATTTAAAAAAAAAAAAAAAGCAGGAGAATACGTTTTTGAAGAAGAGAATTTTTAGAACAGTTTGATAACGCAAATTATTTTTTCTCAATTGTTTGAGCAGCATTCAAGTTTTGAAAATTCTTGTAGAAGCCAATTTTTTGTAACTGTGGTGCAAATCTTGTGTTTTCTTAGCCTGATGAAAAGTAGTATAGAAGCAATATTTCATACGTGACATGTGCATATACATATACATACGTAGTCACACACAGAGAAACAAAACGTGTGGGTGTATGTATGTATATGTACACAGAAACACACACACACAAAATATGCGTATGAAGTGAAAAGCTTACCTTTTTCCTATCTAGATTAAGAACCTATTTTAGACATTTGTTATGTTTTGTGAAAAGAATGTTCTATTTGAAACTACAAAACATTTAATTCTTACTGTATCTCTGGTTGTTTAATGGAAACGTTTCACATTTAATGGTAAACACGTGGAAGATGTTAGAATGTAGTAATTATTTAAGAAAGTGTTCACCCATGTATTCCTGAGGTTTGCTTTGTGCCTCTGAGTATTATTTAATTAAAGTGTTTTAAGTTTGCAGAATCTTTGTTACTGTACCAGGTATGTGGGTGAACATTGAAAATCGAGGGGAACTTTTATAAAGCAATGTAAATATTCAACCTTATGGATGTTCTTGCATAAAGACATAAGATTTTAATAACTACATTCTGAAAACATCTGTTGAATTTATAAGAAACACTACAGTAACTGTATAGATAGTTGAAAGCATTCTTGAAAATCCAGCTCTCTACTTTTAAAAGTTAAGTCTCTTTCATCAGATGTCAAGGGAATGGGTGATACAGTTTCTGTAAAATTGCAGAATTTTTTTCTATGTATATGAAGTCAGTTAATAGAAAAATGTTTTTTTCCACAGGTTAATATTAATTAAGAAATAAAGGTGAAGATTTTGTGGCTTTAAAGATAGGATTTTCACCAGCAGCATTGAAAGATTATACATATATATATATACAGAAAGATATATATATATATTAAAAATGGAAAGTGGTTTACAAAACCCCCAAAATGAGCACTGTACATGAGAAGTGAAAGCAAAAACTATATTTGCCATGTGTATTATATAGCAATCATTGGTGTTAATAGTGCAAATGTTTCCTTCTGGTACCAACTACGTGTTTGAAAATTCCAATACGCATTGTTTTCAAAAAGCTCCCCTTAAGGAATGTAACTGGTTTATATGAGTAAGCAGTTACTGTATTGCACTTAAATGTTCTGTTGAAGGAAATGCAATTTTGTTTTCTGTAGAACTGTTGGTTGTAAACCATCTATAAACTGAAGCTAAAAAGGCTCATATTTAGAGCTGGGATGAAAACTGGTATTTAACCTTTGTATCTTCTTAGGAATACCCTTTTTAGTGTATGAAAGGTGGTGGCATTATGACTTTACTTAGTCTTTTCATCTGAGCCACAGTCACCTCTCTCCCGAAGCAGCCACCTTCCGAATGCACAAATAGACTGGGATATGTAGAAACAAATCTAGAAGAAACAGCAAGCTTAGGTTTTTCTCTGAAATCCATCCTTTCTGCATTAATTGTACCACTTGAGTGAGATATTAGACAAACACAATAACCATCTCATTACCATATAACGTGTAAGAGTCAGAAACTAAAAAAAGAAGGAAAAAAAACCCAATCTCTTTAGGTTGGTTTTAATGCTGCCCAGAAGAGTCAAAGGTTAAGGTTTAAACTGATATTGTCCCAGCCATTACTCATATGTATATAGTTACAAAAGTGACAAAACACTGCCTTTATATTATTTAGCAATATGTTGTAAATAGCATTATTAAGCTCTTTTTTTGTAATAAAGACCCTTTAATTTGAAGATAGTACAATAACTGAACTGATAAAGTCAATTTTTGATTTTTTTTTTATTTTATTTTTTAGCTAGAGGCAATTTCAACTGTGGATTTTTTTTGTTGTTGTCTATTGTTCTGAAGACTTTGCATAATTTATTGGTTTAATTTATCCTAATTTATTTGATGAAGGTGTACAATTTTGTATTACCAAGGATGTACTGTAATATTAATTGATGACAAGATAAAACAATAAGACTCCCCTGTCCGTTTGGAAAAAAGGTGCAGTAGACAATTGATTGAAAAAAGTTACAATTCTAGCTTGGCAGCTACTAAATTTAAGATAAACACAGGAAAAATGTTGGGGGGGGGGGGTGGATTTTATTTTGTGTGTTTAAAGCTTTTGTATACTCTCCAGACTTTTACCTTTTTGCTTTGTACCACTTAAAGGATACAGTAGTTCAATTGCCTTGTGTGCCTTCCATCTTCTCTAAACTGAATGTATGTGCAGTATATATGCAAGCTTGTGCAAAATAAAATATAAATTACAAGCTCATTGCCATTGTTTATATTTATTTCCAAAAGTTTATGTTGCCCCGTATCAAGAGGTGAACCACTGAACCTCTCTCTCTGCTGCGGCCAGGCTGTGCCTAACACTGTAATCCTCTGCAGGTTTTCTTTCCCCCTTGGTTTGAATTATTTATTAATGAACTGCCAGCCCTCTTGCAAAATGGATATAATGATTTATCTAATCCAGTGTCCTACCTCCAGCTCCGGTTAAGATAATGAATGTTATTTTGCAATAGTCTATCAGACAAGGAATAACTCCCTGCAAGAGACTTGCTATGTCTGAGGCACTGGCAGCCCTTTCATTAAATGTAGCCGGTGCACTTTCATTTACGACGTTTAAGCATTTCCCTGCCACCCTGGTGTCCTGCGACTTGGAGTTCCACAAGTCAATATCCAAAAGAATAATGCTTGTTTCAATGTGATCCACATTTGTTCCTTTTATCAATTTGTGTGATTCACATTTGTTCCTTTTATCAATTTGCCCTTCTTAATGGCACCATCCAGATACCATTCTGTATTCTTTTTATTACAATCTATCATTTTCCTTGGATCACTTCCTTTTCAAGCTGTACAATCATTAGCTTTATATATAACTAATCTGTTCTTGCACATTTCCTCAAAATGCAAGTCTCATTTGTTCATTGTTTTTCTCTCATCCTTCGCTATTTCTGCTGTTTCATATGGATCAAAATTTTGAGGTTGAGTGAATCTTTGATTTACATTATTGTCTGTGTTTCAGATATGAATGGTCTCTTTTTGGCTTAGAATTGGTGCAGATGGCAGTAAGATGGTAGCTTATTTGGATCACAAAATCATGCAAGAATTTTCTGATTTTGAAGAAGCAGCATGTTAAAAATATGTTTTCATCCGAGGTCATTTATTTTCAGAATCTTCCCCAATTTGGCCTCAGGATGCTGTAGAGCAGAGCTGGAGCCTGAATCCAGCTTTAGCTACACTGTAACAACCACAGAAATACTTTGTATCTGCAAGAGCAATTAAAACTACATGCCTTTTTATACGCCTGGAGTTGCATTTGGTGGGCCACATCAACACCAGGTGTAAAGGGGTTCTGTGGAAGGTCGTGAAGTTCATCCATGTACGTGTAAGATCTTTGATTCTACAGCAAACAAACTGCCCCTCCTAGTTCACATCTATCCACACCTACCAAACCAACATTCTAGCATTTTCAGGTCAAAATACCTGACATTCAGGTCTTTTCTTAAGGAACTGGCTGCCCCACAGGCAGGGGGATGCCAGGAAACCATGAAAATGCTTTTCTTGTCAAAGGGAAGCCAAAGAGACGGTGAGGAGAGCGAAACTAGGGAGCTGCTTAAGCACATCCTAGCAAAGATTATGAGGGAGGACTCACTTTGATGTTAGCTAGCAAGACTTAACTTGACAAAGGAGAGGGAGATCATGCTCAGGTGCCCAGTTAATGGACCAAATGATACAAGCTGCATGGGTAGTTGCTAGCTCGCTCTGTCCCCTGGTCAGTTTTTCTCTCAAATATACTGGTTCTATGAAATAGAAGACACTATTTGCCATTTCACCCTGCAGTGGAAAGCACACAGATCTCTAAATAAGAAATCCTAGCTATTGGCATCTCAGAGTACTGCAGGAGTTCAGAGCTAGACTGGAACTTGGCAAGTAGAGCCTGTCATTGCAGAGGGCCAAATCAACTTTCCCAGGCTTCAAGCACCCTGAAATGATCCAAATTCTGCAGATCTGGCCATCTGTGCTTGGAAATCCTCAGTTCCCCTAATACCTGGAATTTTTACAATAAGGAAGATGCTATGTTCTAGCTTAAAAATCATGGGGAAGACATGAATTGTCCCTGATCAAGGCAAACAGAGCAATTTTTATGTCACCGAAACCATCACTAGGAACTGGGATCTTTCACACATGACATTACTGAGAAGCCGAATGCAGAAGACTGCATTTTGTGATTTGAGAGCCTGAAAGAGTTAATTGCTCTCATTTTCTTTCTCGTACCCTTATTTATGCCCAGTCTAGGTTGTGCCAACACAATTTCTATGGAGATGATCCCTTCTGATCCAGTCTTCCCTCTTTGTTAGGAGGGAAAGGGAACTGAGGGGTGAGTTGCAACATATGACTGACTGCATTTAGGAAATAATGGCAAACGGGTCCCTCACTCTTTGCGATGGGTTACAGTGTTTCCCCAAACAGACTAATCTGATTCCGTTTTAAAATATGGCACGGCGTTTATTTTAAGAACACAATGCGGAAAATAAATTGAATCTTTGCTACAGCTGATTGTTGAAGGGGGATGGAGGGCTCTCAGGGTGGTGGTAGAACTGCTGGAATAGAAGGAGTGTGGGGGGGTGGGAGGGCTATTCCCCTGCGTGGTCCAACTCTCTGACCCTCCGGGCACATTGCAAGGCCTCCCTGCACTCCTGGCTTTTCACCGGGCAGGGGCATCAGGAGAAGATGCCTATCAAAGCCTGATCAATTGGTGGGTGCAGAAAATCCACCATTTGCTTATTTTTGTGTATAGCTTTTCAGCATCACTAACATACCTGTACCTTAAAGAGGTTAGAAAGGTATCTTTTATTTACAGATTAAATTTTCTTAGAGACTTCAATGAATTTTCGTTGGCTTAGGTTAGCCTGGCTCTTTCCAGAGCTGCAGAGCAGAGTGAGACACTGACTCTCGTGCAGAGAAAGGACCCCCCCACACACACCTCGCTCTGCCCAGAGTCTGGGAGGCTGTGATTGCCTTTTCATGAATAAATCCTAGGCGAGTGAATAGTGGTACTTTCCCATTTATTTGGGAATCAGTGTGAAAAAACAAACAAACAAACAAGCTATTTGCTTCACAACAAAACACATGAAAATGAACTGCTGTTCACGCTCAAAGGCAGTTAATTGCATGCACGGTTTAATTTTATTCTTTAAAATTAGACGTAAGGTTGAATCTCTAGCTAGGCAAAGGAAAGGGGAAAAAAAAAAAAAAAGGAGAAAGATGGCACAGATAGCTAAAGAAATACAACCAGCTCCAATGTAAATATGTTTGCAGTTTGCAAGAGACCTGCCAGTCAAGCAGCTGTGGGAGGTAACAGGGGAGAACGCATGAGAGGAAAAAGTCTTGTGGCAACAGTGGCCAGTTTCATTATGGCCACTGCCAGACTGTGAAACAACTCTGGGGGCTTGAAATCCTATTGCCTATTAAAACTGGGCATGACAGCTCTTTTTTATGCTTCACCAACCAGAGATGGAACTGTGTCCTAGGGGAAATAAGGAAAAATATTTATTACAAGTGTTTAACACCTTTTAGTACAAAACAACCCTAATATGCAGCACTCAAGGATAATTCATGCCAGCACATGTAAAACCAAGGGGAATCGCTTATCAGCTCAATAATTTGGTCAGAGCTTTTAAAGGACGAGATGATGCTCCAGTCAAAACCCTGAGCCCAGATTTCTCTGAAGTGAAGGCACTTTAGATATATTTTTTTTTAATATTATTTTTACAATTTGTCAGTAATCAACACAAGGCTCTGACAACACACCCATCCTAGGGACTGTGTGACTGCCTGACTTAGGCTGAAGGGTGGCTATTCAGATTGGGGTCTCACCTGTCCCTCGCGCACGGCGATAGTTGATGGCATATTTAAGAAAGCAGCAGAACAGTTAGGGGTGGATCTCAAACAGCCCGTGAGCTTTAAACAGCTTTAAAGGCTTATTTTAACGTGTAGCCCGAGCTCACCTTAGATTGCAAATACCCTTGAACTCTAGGGACGCTTGGTTCAAGGGGTGTATTTCAAATCTTTCCTAACAAAATGAGTCTCTTTAGGAGTGGCGAAATATAAAGTGAAATTCACCGCTTTCTTACACAAACCTACAATTTCCCAGCTTTTGGTGAAACCTAGAGCTCAGGCGGAGAGCTCCACCGCGCATTGAGTGCCAGAGGGAAAAAAACCTCGAGCGCTTTCAAAAAAGCAGAGCTCAAAGCTTTTCAGGCTGCCGGCTGCATGTCCCCATTTCACAGACGGCGACACGGAGATGCGGGATGGCGGTGTCTCCTCCCCAGGACCCCCTCCTGCCCACTGTGGAGCCAGGAACAGCGCCCGATCCTCCAGCCCCCCGCTGGGCACCGGGCCGCTGCCAGCCCTCCGCGTTACTCATTAACGCTCGCCGTTACTCGTTAACAGCCCGAGCAAGGGCTTCATGCGCCGCCCTCGCAGAGCCCCTCGTTTAGATTGCGCAATCGACACGCTACTCCCATTTTATTTCCTAGCAGACACTTTGCTTTCTAGCATCCTTCTGCATCCTATAGCGAGTGACCGGAGACAATACTTTAAAATGCTGTTTACTCAGCCATTTGCTTTTGTAGAACCCAGTGGGAACCACAGAGGAACCAGAAAAGCCCATCCATGGTGAGGATTTCCCCTCGCCTGCGAGCCAGGTTGCTCCCTCCTCTGTGCTGCTGCACACCATCGGGAATGGTCTGCTGCTTAAGTGGTGTTTCTGTCCTTCCAGAAATTTCTAGAGTATTCAGCAGACCCTCACCAGCGCCATGGCCAGCTTCCACCTGCAGCACAGGGAGGCTGGACATGGATGGGGTTTCCATCCCAGCTGCTGGTAGGGGCCAACACTGGGAAAAGAGGAGGTTGGGAGCTGCCATGGTGGGGTGATGGGGGAAACCTGGCTCTCTCAGGAGCCAGCCTGCACAAAGGGCTGGGTGGATGGACACTGCCCAAAGCCACATAAGCTGCTCCTTACTCTCAGCAAAGGTACTGGGGTCCCCATCCTGTGGGCCAAGCGGGGCCTGGGTGGTGCCGGAGGATGGCAGTGGGAGCAGCAAGGGTCCAGATTCCCCACCACAGCTGGAAACTTCCTCAGCAGTGGAGTAAAGCCAGTGCCCAGTGGTGGGCACTCCTGCCCTTCCAGCAGCTCCCTCCAGGTATTTCCAAATTTCAGCACTATTCTCATATCTCTTTGGAAGAGGGAAGTGGAAGGGGGATG